GGGAGCAAAGGAGAATCTCTGATTTCCCTCTACCAGGACCACTCTAGCATTAAAAAGGAAAGAGACAAAAAAAACAAAAACAACCCCCCCCCCCCCAAAAGAAACAAAACAAACCCACACATGAGAAAATAGTGTTTTCATCATAATACTACAGTAAGATCACGTACTAGTTATTCTGATCACCCTGCTTTACATTTACAAGCCTATAGCTGTGCACTGATAATCCTTTCAGCCTGAACATTAACCATATGGTAACCTGATTGTGTCCCCTGCCCCCCTGCAAACAGATTATGGGCCATTGCAAGAAATTAAACTGCGGTGTTTGTTGTAAATTGATGCCAGTTTAAGTGTCAATTTTCCACAAGCACAGAACAACATAAAAATAAGCGCTTATACCTCCTCAATTACCCCTGCTTCCTCATTGACCACGTCTGACACGAGCGTTCTCGTTCAGAGGGCAGCGTCTGCTGATACACTCATCCATCAAATGGCGTACAATGAAAGCCAAAACAAAGCTTTTTAAATACCAGAGAGCCGACTGCGATTAGATGTGGAAGTTAAATGTCAAGACAACTTGTACAAAAACATGGCTGCAGTTATGACGTCCCCTCTCCGTGCATGAGCGCGAGCTGTGCCGCCGCCTAATCAGGACACAGTGGAAAGAAGTGTACTTGAAAACTCATGTGTACCCCCGTAGAAACACTGCTGATGTTCAGCATTAATAAATCAAAGAGGTGCTTCACTATGAACACATAAGGGAGAAAATGAACCGGCAGAGATTACAAGGTTACAGTCCAGGATACATGGAAAAGAGCCTGTGCAGCACTGTGCTTAAAAGGAAAAGAAACAACAATTTTAGAGCCCAAAACGATTAATGACAGCACCTCCAACGCCATGACAACTTTTTTCTCAAAGTATTAACTTTTTGGTGTGTTGTCACAACATACGATACTTTATATAAATCAGACTTAGTCAACCTTTCCAATGAGAACGTTTACGTGACGGGGGCCGTTTGGCAAGAAACAATATTAAACACAGTCATGGCTTTATCAACACTACCTGAGTTACATTTAATAATTCTGTATATTTAGCGGCTTTTTTTCTGAAAAGTAACAGCCCAGAGCCATTCTTTCAAGGAGGATTTCTCGTCACTACACACAGATTTCGTCTATTATTAATTATAAGATAAAAGCAATTAGTTTACATAAAGTGCTAATAATCCACACATTAGCCAAATCAGAGCTTCTAGAGAAAAACCTGGACAGTTGCTTTGTTGAGTAAACCGATCTTGATTTGCTGATGGTGAAGGAAAAAAAAAATAAAAAATTGACATCACAGCTGGTCAGCTAGCAGATTTGGGCTGCCTAGACTTGGATCTTACAACATGAGCCTTTAGAATAATTTTAAAAAATATACACATATCCCACCATCGAATTTAGAAGTCGTGCAACAAACTGAACACCCTTAAACATTCTGAACTGCACTGCAGGCCACGCTAGCATCTTGGCTGATGACGTTGTAGCTCTACATAACCCTCACAACCCCTCCCAACACGCATGTATGGATCACACGGTGTTATTGCACACTGGTTTGCAAACGTAATAGGTTATCCACAGTAAAACATAATAGCATTTAACTAATCTTCACATTTGAACAGTTTGAAAAAGTGTCTACTTAGGGAACTAAGATTAGTATTGCAATTGTTCTGTTACTGTTATCTTTGTATGCCGATGAACAGTGACCTCCAACTCGTGCGTTTCCACCAGTAAACATGCAAGAAAAACGATGCCGTACAAGGCAGAAAAGTAAAGACCAAATTCTGAGTCAAAAGAAAAAACAAAACAAGAAAGTACATTGTAAAAATGTAGAACAAGAGGAACTGAACACAAATACAGGCAAAATAATCTGTATTGACATCCTGAGCCTTACTGCTGAACAAAAAGCACAAAATGCAGAACACTTTTGTGGAAGCAATGTCTCTTTTTTCCTCCTCCTTTTATTTTACCTAACAGTTTGTCACCAAGCTTATTCCCCAACTCAGAGTTCATTTAATAGAATGTATAATGAACCTCAGTTTAAGAACAGCCGGTGACAACCTTCTAATAATCTGAAATGTATGAAAAGCTTCAGGATGAATTTAACGGAGACCTTATTTTTGACTCTTTAGCACACCTAATAAACAGTGAAACAAAGGGGGTGGCTTTCCTTCAAACTGGGCACTTTTGTACCTGTGCTCTGGGGTCAAACTGTAGTGCAGATAACACTCATGTTAGGTAAGACGAAACAACACAAAAAGAAAACGTGGGCAATTAAATTTTCCCTTACTGATTTAAGACAAGACTCCCTTCCTGGATGGGGCCTCACCTATAAGCTCCCATTTAACTTAGAGTTAAGTGGGACCCCACAGACCGCTCCCCAAAGAATGCTTTGCAGAGTGTTCTCCTTTCATTCATGATGAATTCAAGCTTGCACACAGATGTGCATGTATATAACGTCTAACATATCTACAATGAAACTTGTGAATGTGTAAAAGAAAACATGACTGAGGCATGCTGTAGTCAGACTGACTGCTGCCACAGGTCAACAGGATAAAGGCTTAGGGAGGTGCAGTCCAAAACACCTTCCTTTTGATGAACTCCCAAACATTATCACTAAAGAGCCATGAGACAAACAAAGATCGCAGCCCAAAGTGTCCATTCGTCATGTTGGAGAGGCACCAATCAGCTCCTTTTTAACGTCCATCCAGAGCTTATGTGTTCATTTTGATGCCCCCAGAGAAGTCCGTTATTCCACCCGAGATACCATGGAAAATCTGTCATGCTAAACTATCAAATGTTTTCACAGTTGTCACTTCTATCCAACAGGATTTGTGATTTCCAAGGTAGATAACTGCAGCACCCAGAAGAGAAGAAGGTAAGTACTGTAGGCCATCTACCTCACTGATCAGGTCCATCCTTGGTCTCGCCGTAAATTACTACCCTTTTTGGATCTACAGGAGAGAGGAGATGAATTAGGGTGATCAAGGATTCTGTGTTTATTTTAAAATGTTACGCATCATTTCTTAAAGCATTAAATGGCCTTACTCTGAAGCATATTAAGGACTTAACCCCTAATGTGCCTCAGCATTTACTTAGGTGAATGTGGCCATGCTGGTCATTTCAGTGTCTCAGCTAGCACAGAGGATTTCATAAATGTGTGATAACACTGCCGTGCTTTATCCCATTATTTTTTCTTATCTTGTCATTCAATACGATTATTTTCTTTCTGAAGCATTTAGTAATGGTACAAAAAAACAAAAAAAAAAACACCCCCCATCTTTCTTATTATTACTACTGTCAGACATAGTGTATTCTGGACCTTAACTGCAAATTTCAAACGGTGGCTTTCAAATAAATTAATATTGGAATTTTTTTTTCCTTTTTTCATTATAGAAAACTATGGGTAAAATGAACTAAATCCAATCCTAAATCCACAGCCATTCCTTGCTTGGAAAACAGTGCCAACACATATATTTAAGACAGGATCTTTGTACCTTGTTTTTGCAAGTTGAAAACGGATTCCATTTCTGATGAAAGGAAACAAAAACACACATTAGCTCATCATGAAACATTTAAAAAAACAAACAAAAAAACAACAACAACAAAAACAACCAAAAACAAAAACAAACAATTAAAAGAAAGCAACAGCAACAAAAAAAAGCAAATACGTAAACATTTTACAAGTTAGTGTTTTACACAGTTGACAAAATCTGAATTTAGGTTCATGCTTGATGCTGTTAAACAAAATTATACTTTCACATATCGAACAGCAATCGCGAGAACCCTTAAATGACCACTGCAAAAGGAAAATAAAAGCCCCGTACATTTCAACAACTGACATTGAATTTTGTTTGCTGTTGGTGATTGACTGTAGGGCTGCCACAAACGATTATTTTGATAGTCGACTAGTCACAGATTATTTTTGCGATTAGTCGACTAATCAGAGCATGAAAACGTACAGCTTATTGCACCAGCATGCATCTGCTCTTATGTAACTATCATTAGCTTACAGCTTTAAGTGTTTAAGGTATGTGCTAACTAAAAATAAAGGCAAGATGATAGTTTATTCAATTTTAATTACATTTGCAGATTGTTTCGGTGAAGTTTAATAAACTCCTTGCTATCTAAAATATAACAGGACAACGGAGTATATTCTCGAGCATCTCACACTTCTGATAATCAGCTGTCTGCTTGACGTTTATTCAGCTGTGTAAAAACTATAACTTTAATCTCAGCCAAACTGATTTACTCAGGAATAAATAGAATACTAAAAAAAGCCAAACAATAAAATTTTTAAGTTATCTAAGTGACTTATATATGTTTAACCTGAGTAGCGAAAGACGGCGGTGGGTTTGAAAACTATTTGCCCAGAGTCCAGGGTTCTCACTGGCTCTAGTGAGCTTTGCCCCGGCTAGCTATCGAGCTAGTGGGTAACAGACTTCGGAGCGCTTTTCAAAATATGTGGCGTCTTGATAAACTGAGCAGATATTTGAGGTTTACACAGCTACATTCTCACCTGAAAATATGTTAAACGTTTATTTTGTGACCCAGAAAGAATAATAACAGTAATTAAAACTAACTAGCTGCCGCCATTGTTGGAAACTGAGCTGGACTGCGCTATGAATTCTGGGACAAAGCTACTACTTCTTCGGGGTTTAACGGCAGCTGGCATCCTTGTACATGCAGTGCTGCCATCTTCTGTTTCAGTCCGTTATTACACTCTTAAATCCTACTACTTATTCCTTAGTCTTTTGTGATCTTACAAAGCTTCAAACGACGCACCGACTGTTAAATTTTTGATAGTCGACATAATCGTGACTAGTCGTCTAATCGTGGCAGCCCTAATTAACTGCAAGCATATGTGGTGACTAACCGTTTACCCAAAGGTTGACTGTGTTGACTGCAAGGGGATTGGCAACTTGTCTACAAACAATCACAGCTTGGAATCACTCTCAGACGTACTGGTAAAGGTTTATAACAAACTGTCATCCAATTTATAAACAGAGACAGACTGATTGTAACATAGTGTCAAAGTCAGTAGTCTGCTACACGTCTCTTTGCATCGTTTTATCACAGTTAATCTTCATGTTATCAAACCGACTGCATGTCATTGTTAACTTAACCCTATTCAATCACAAATGGATAGCAGACTGACTCCACCTTATTGCGGTTTTATCACCGCCTTAACACAAAGTCACTTTGAAGACACCAACTGACCGAGTGCTCACAGACCTGGTCCTGTATTTGTAGTAACTTTTTCAAAGGCAACGAAACTACTCTACAACTACCATTTGCCCTATCAAAAAGCCATTTTTGGAAGGTAATAACATTTTTAATATGGATAAGATATTTCGGTTGGTGAGGTGCAAATATTCGATTTCACCTTAGCAAAGAATCAAGTCAAATTTCATATGAAGTCATCTATGGCTGACTTAGTTCATTTCTTTGGTAGAACTGTGAGGCAAAAATCAGACGCTGTCTACAGTTACTCAGACTGTGTGCTGAAGCACTTTTGCTGAGGTTAACTGCTACACTAATTTTAACACAGTCAGAACAGGTGGTGCCAAAACAGAATCTTAGGCTAAGTCCACACCAACATATTTTTATTTTGAAAAGAAAAGAATCACCACCCAGATGTGCATTTGAGGAACATTTCAGAAATAATTTTGGTCCAACACCTGAACACACATAGCAAGATCATTTAGAAAGCATCATGATGTAGAAAAACTATAAAACAGCTGCATTTTATCAAACAAGGTATTCAATTCAATTCAATTTTATTTATATAGCGCCAAATCACAACATAAGTCGCCTCAAGGCGCTTCATAGGTAAGCTAAACCTTAAAGAAATACAAGAGAAAAATAGACTTTTTTTAAACATGGCAAGAATTCAAATCTGGTTATTGGGTTAATGTTTTTGATAGAGCAGAGAGTGAAACTTACCTTTAGTGTGATAAGTGACAGCAGCTTTAACGTCAAAGGACCCCCAGCTACACCTCGTGCTAATGTCTTTAGAGAGAACCTGTTCTTTAGATGAGCCAAATAATAAAGTGGTTAGCTGACCCTGCGCAGGCTTAGCACCGTTGTCTTTACTGGGGGCCAACACAGCAGTTCCTGCACCTTGTGTCTTTTCCTTGCCACATGGCTGCAGCTTGTTCTCCTCCTCACTCATCCCATAAGCAGGAGGACAAGCATTGGACACAATGCAAGGGATACAAGTCCTTTTCTCAGGGTCTTGAACCAAAGGCCCAGGCTCTAACAATGATGGGCTAATGTCAAAGCAAGGCTGGGCAACCTTGGCTGCAACAGCTTGACACTCGCTATTAGATGTGACCACAGTAGTTTTGTCCTCTCCGGGCACCAGCCCATTTCCGCCTTCTGGGCCCAAGTTGGGCTCATTAATGAAGGAAAGCCCCCACTGATTCTGGAAGATATCTCCCAGGGCTTTCTGATTTGTCTGAGCCGCTGGTGGGTCAAGGTGACGAGCGCTAGGGAGTACAGGTTGCATATTTAAAGGGTAAATTAAAAGAGTACACTTTCTAAGCTCATATGCCTCTCCATCTACAGGACTAGTTGTGGAGCTACAGTTACTTTCCAAAGGAGATGCTACATTGTCGCCACTTAGGATAGACTGGGCTGATGGAATACTACTAGCAGCAGGAGCTAAGAAGGTACCCACTGACGGGCAACCGTTTCCATTTCCAGAAACAGGACCATTAGTAAAACTAGCTGAGGTGATGGTTTTCATAGCAGACATAGGGACCTGTGACAGTCTGACAGGAGGAGGCAGTGCCTCTCCTCCACCTTGAGCTACTTTGTTGAGGTTCTCTTTTACTTTACTTGCATAACTGATCTTGGGAACAATTTTAGCACTGCTATTGTCCACAGGAAATACTGGCGGAGGCTTGAACAAAGTCCATGAGTCCTCTTTTGAAGGTGAAGAAAGCTTGCCTTTGTGTCTTTCCTCAGTTTTTTTACCCAAGGTGCCAACTGTCTTTCCATCAGAGTTTTTCCTCTGAGATTCACCCACTGAAGCCTCTGATACAACAGCCCGTTTGGCTGTCGACTGAGTTTCTACTTTCTGGGTGGCTCTAAATCCATCGAGTCTCGAGGTCATTCCTTTCTCATTTGTCTCTAGATTCAAAGCCCCCAGCTCCTCTGTAGTGTGGCCCTGCTGCATGTCTCTCTCCTTTTCTCTTATCACATTATCAGTGTTCTTTGTATTGTTACATCTGGTCTTGCGTTTCTTCGGAGTAGTATATCCACCTTCCGAGCTACTACCGTCATTGTCCTTGCTAGAATAGCCATTTGTAATTAAGCCACAGTTTACGACGCCATTTTGAAGTAATACGGAGTCCTTCTTATCCAAAGGCGGGCCCTCATGATGACTCAAATCCTGCACCTTCTCCTTGTCATTTTTAAAGTCCATATTCTTCTTATGGTCCATTCCTTTGATGCTTATTTTTGGAACAGTCGTGCACAGCTTTTGCGTCGATTTGGGCTTTGCATTTGTATTAATTGTGTGTCTGTTAGCATTGATGCTAGGTGGATGCGACATGCCAACAGCATTAGACAGATGTGGATTCTTCTCTCCCTCCTCGTCACTGATGCTTACTTTTTTATTGCCTGAAAGGGGAAACAAAATCAGTTCATACTGAAATTAGGGAACACATCCACCACCTTTCACCTGGCAGAAAACCTCCACAACTACTACGTTTCCTGAAAGTCTGTGTCAAATAATCTGTTTCATACTTGGAGAAACTACAAGGCTTTTATAGATTTTTGTGTGTGTGTGCGCACGCATGGTATCACAATAGCAATAGCATGACAACACTAGCAAAAAAGTGACTATGCAACTCTTAACCTAAACAAATCCAAGTAAAAAGAGATGCACATTAAACGTTTAAATGTTTTTTCTAGTATTACATATAAACCACACCCATGATCTCTTTATTGGGTTTATAATTATTCTTATAGTGCTGTGTGAAATTAAACTTCCTAACAATCTTCCAAGATGAGCTGAGAGCTCACTACATGTAAAATTAGATATGCTTCACAACTGTCAACAACAAAGGACTCTTGCTTAGCTTCCCCCAACCCAGAGAATATTCGACATCAGAGACAAGTTGTTGCAAGGATCGCTCACAACAGCATTTATGGTACACGCACAGAGGAGCAATAAACTATTAACAGGCCCGTGCACGGCAGAGACGCATGGGGATTGCTGTGTCAACGTAGGACTTTCCATTCACAACGGTGCTGCCTCAATGTCTGTGAGCGCAGCACCCAATGGATTGCATACAGTCTCTCCTCTCTTACACACTAGCAATCATACACGTGCATATAGACTCGTAAGGACGATGCTTACAGTGTCAGCTCTGCGCCACAAAACAAGACATTGTCCAGTTGTTCCCTGGCTTCACATTGACTGGACAACATGCAACAGGCCTGTCAATGATGGCTAGCTTTAGCTAATGTCAACTAACCAGCGGCTCGGTTTCCACCAACACGCCCAGGAACTGTTGTGCCCTATCAGCACCAACAGCAACAACCACAGCAGCCAAAATGACAGCAGAGACATGCCAGAACAGCAAAGTAGGTTGCCTGTACAACAATTTCTAACTAGCTGTGGAACTACAGCATTAGCCAGCAGTGATAGTCTAACATGGCTGACAGGAAATGGCAGCTCAGAACATTCCAGTGGAGCCGGCTCGGTTTTCCTAAGCTGGACATGAGCATGCCGAACAAAAAAGACACAGATTTGACTATTGTTGAGGACAACTTGCCGTGCACTCCTATCAAATAATGCACAAAGAACACATGGTAACATGGCAGGGGTTCCTTGAGATGATTAAGATGCATTTGCAAAAGAAAAATGGTTGGCGAAACCGGCGCACAAGGTCAATCCCCGATGTGTCAAACCACCACAGCGACAACTGTCACGCAACGTCAGCTAGCGAACTTGCTAACATAACGGTGAGTTCTTCGTCCGGCTATCCGTCAAAAAGGGCCAAGCTTTTCAACAGCTGAAACATTTACCAAATTATCTCAAGGAACCATATATAATATGAACTAATAGCTAGCTAGCAGGCTAAGTCCTCAATCGCGATTTAGTTCAAATTAGTTAGCAAAAGCTAGTCGGCTCACTGACATTAGCTGACCAAGGCTAGCAAGCATTAGCTAACTTTTCCGGATGGCCCAACCTGTTTTCTTCGTCTGCGTTTCCTGATGCTGGCACTGGAAGTGGCTCTGATCATTTTTTAGACAAGTTGACTGCTGAAAAGAGTGCCTGTCGTCTCCGTGGTGATGGTATTGCCTGTCTTGTGCCCGGTCTTTGGGCTGTTCCTCCATTGAAGTGAAGAATGTCGGACTTGTTCAACCAGTATGTTAGCTCACTCAAGTACAGGACAGTCCAATCACTACCAGAGTAAAACGGAAGCTATTTGAAGCCTCTGTAAACGTCAGCAGTAAACGTCTAAAAATGGCTCTGTTTTGGGTGGTCACCGCCACCACTCAAATCCATGTCTAGTTATTTGTGCTGAGTTATGCAGGGGAATATTTCTCAACACTTTTTTTTCTGTCAGTGCGTGTATTTAATCGGATAACTGACAGTAGAATAACGAAGGAGCGATATTGAAAAAAATCTTTCGGGGTGGGCGATACCGGGGTGGGGTTCGTGTGCGAACAAAAATCACATGACCGGAGGCGCTGCCACGTCTCAAGCCAGTGGACACATGTTGGTGATGGCGAGACCAACCTCACTCCCAAAGTGGAAAAAACATACTTATTGCAAATTTATTAGCAATGCACTTGTGAGTGTTTAATCAGTAAAGAACATTGTTCCCGTTTTCTGAACAAGCAACAACATTACTCTAATAATCTTTGCGTATGCACACAAATAATAATCTAAAAATATAATATCAATTGGGTAGTTGGTGCAATTTAGCACGAAGTGAATGTATACTAGGGTTAGGAGGCATTAAAAAAAGTAACATGCATTTAGTGCTTCCCATATTTGGCATCGCCCTTGTATACAGACACTTAAACATATACATGTGTGTGTGTGTATATATATATGTATATATGTATATATATATATGTATATGTATATATATATGT